TTCCTGTTAGCTCACATCTTAGCTATTATTTTAGCAAATAGACTAGCTTTGGGATTAACTATTGGATTACCTTCTGGATTAGCTTTCAGATTAGATTTTAGATTTTTTTTTTTTTATCTCATTTATGAGATCCTAAAGCAATGCAAATTAGCCACACAGCGCAATGTAAGGAGCTCTGAGATTGGTTGGACAGACATAGACTTGTTGCCTGGATTTTTCTACACTGCTGTTTGTGCTCATAGCTATGCTCTGCTAAGAAGTGCGTGTGCTTGTACAAAGGCCATTCAGCCTTGAAATGCCACTTTACACTCTGCCTGACAAAGATTTAATAGAGATATGTGATTGAGATAGGTGAAGAAGGAAAGGGACCCTGCAGTGAAACAGAGAGCTAAACCTCCGAGTGCGTGCCTGTGGACTCAGCCTGACCACCTGTTGAAGCTAACGTGCTAACATGGCTAATGCTAGCATCACCGCATGTAACCCCACTCTATTAAGGGCCATTTCTCAATACTCACGTACGCAACTCTGTACTCATGTTCTCGCAGACTTCATAAGTTCACACAGGAGTCCAGACTTCCTGAGAACGTAGCATGATTTTTGTACAATTTGAACACGAGTGTACTTGATGATGTCACAGGTCAGCCTAACATGACCCGGCTGGCTCGTCCCACTCAAATATCAGATCAGAATTTTACAGTAAACATATATATAAATGTTACTGTGTCAGTTTTCATTGAAAAATAATAAAGGAAAATATTTTATGAATTACTTTACCTGTACTATAGCAAGATGTGCTCTAGTACAGAATAGGATGGTGCACATATTTCAGAAATCCAACTATAATTTTACATGCAAGCTCACTTTTTGCAGGTTAATTTGCAAGCGATATTTGTATCGATTTCATACAAATACCAGCAAGTAAGGCTCAATGTATTTTGAACAGACAAGAGCAAAGTAATGCCATACTTGTCACAGTACGGCTGTGTGCAGGCAAAAGTAGGACCCAAACGCAAACTCACAGAGACAAAAGGTAAACTCAAAAAACACAGGTTTATTGCTGGCGTGGAGTGGGACACGAAAAACAATACAAAATAAACTAAACTGGGAAAAAACTAAAGCACAAGGAGCCACAGGGAAAAAATCACACAGCTATGATGGAGGACACAACACTGACAAAGAGAAACATGGGGCTTAAATACACTGAGGGATAACGAGGGGGAATGAGCCACAGGAGGAGAGCACAGCTGAGAGTAATTAAGCAGGACGAGGCAAGGGAAGCAAAACTAGAAACATTAACATAGAACAGACTGTGAAAGTAAAACAGGAAACACACT